GAGTTGCAACCAGAGTCACGGAACGGATTAAGTTCGTAACTAGAGGTACCACTGTATATGAGAAGGCCCATTGTGAAACTGGGCCACTTTTGGAACAGTTGGAGTGGTCCTTTCTGGAATTAGAATATTCCGTTTTGCACATACAGGTAGTCCTTGTTTAACAACAGTAATTGGGACTGGCAACTCCATCACTAAGAGATGTGGTCATAAAGCGTGGCATCACGTGACCACATCAACTTACGATGGCAGTTGCAGCAGTTCCAGTTGCCATCATTAAGCAAATCCAGCGCAGTCATTAGGCACAATGTCATGTGATCACCATTTGCAACTTCCTGCCAGCTTCCCTGTTGATTTTGCTTGTCAAAAGCCAGCAGTGAAGATTGCAAAAGTCGATCAAGTGACTGTGGAATGCTGCAACCGTCATAATTGCGAGCTGATTGCCAAGTGCCCGAATCGTGATCACATAACCATGGGGATGCAGCGATAGCCACAACTACAAAGACCAGTCATAAGTCTCCTCATTCAGTGCTGTTGTAACTGGTACTACCTGTAGATGGATACATAGCTGGCTCCAAATTCATACCCAGAGACTGTTCATCATCTGGAGAGAGATACTGAGTGAGATACCACAAAATTTAGTCCTGGTCCCTGTACGTGTCAATATTTTACAAAAACTTAGATGAAGAGGTGTTATTACTGGTCAGATTTGCAAAGGACACACAGTTGGGAGGGATAGCTGATACTTTTTAAACACCTCCCCCCCAAATTCAAAATGTGGAATTCTTCACTTGAAGAAAAATGTCAGCCCCATTAGATAGACCAGACCAAGAAATCAACTTCACAGGAAGGCTAAAGCTACTTTTATTGAGATTGGCTATAATAACAGAATCTTGCAAGTTGATTGTACTGTTCCTCCTCCTCCTCCTCTTCCTTATAGTTCAATGAATTATGGAGATATCTGCCTAGGCTCCTCCAGAATGTTATTTCGTAGTTCTGGACTTAAAAAACGCTTCAGCCCCTGGTTCCTGCATATCTCCATCAAGGGCATCTTCCTTACTCTCTTAAGGAAACAAAAATCAGATGCACAGATCAGGATGGGGAATACCTGGTTTGGAATTTGTGAAAAAGAACTTAGAATAGCAGTTGATTGCAAAGTGAATATGAACTGCCAGCATGGTATGATGGTAAAAAAGGAAAATACAATTTTTAATCTGCATCAATAGATTGTAATTTCAAAATCCTGGGAAGTAATATCTAGGTATAATGTAGAATGCAGTTACAAGCCAGCATTAAAGAAATTTTGTGATTTGAGATGCATAGATGCCTAAATACTGTTATTGTTAAATGTGTAAGTTTAATTTTAGGGTTACATTCTAGATCTATAAGATGCAATGAGAGAATATAGTGTGCATTATAGTACCAATATAGCATATATTTCTTCCTCTAGGTCAGTTGATATTGCTAGTATAACATGGTGTGTATGAATGTAATACTTTAGTTCCTTTTCTTGTGTTTACAAGTATATTGTCAGAAAAGAACTATGCAAGATTATGCATATGACTATTTTTTTACTTTAAGTCAATTAACAGAAAATTCTGATCTAGTAACAAAGCAGTAGTCAGAAACCTAAAATTCATGACCTTCAGTTTTTAAAGCCTGTCCTGGTTCTCTAGAAACATAATAACTTGGAGTTATCAAGTGGTTACAGCTAATTTAGTTAATGAGTGGCAGAGTATGAAAACTTTTAAGATCATACCAAGATTTCTAAATCTTTGCTGCTTTGCTCTGAAGACAGCAGGCATTACTGTACTATCTTCCTTCTGAGCTGCTTGCTCAATTTGTCTGAGAGTAGAAGTTTTTTAAAAAAACCTTTCAAATGGCAGTAGCCAGGTCTGCTCCCCTAGGAAACCTCTAAAGAGTTCTAGGCTCTTCTGCCAGGCTGACAAGCATTCATGCTAGGTTGAGTATTTAATGAAAACAGAATAACTACAGACAATTTATTGTAGCAGAAGCAATTCAAATTAATAGAAACCAACTACAATACATCAAGATTTCTTGTTTATGAAGAGGGTGTTTTAGTGAGGAAACACCAGCTGTGTGTGACTAAGGGTGGCACAGATCCAGTTGAGAAACTGTGCTTATGCTGTCACCATGCGGGGGGAGTTTCTTTAAAAATTGCTTTTATCAAGGAAAGCTGTGATACTAACCATCAGTTTTGTATGAATTACAGCAAAAGTGAATAATCTATTCAGTGGTGAAAGTAAGGAAGGATAGCTGTTAATTTGCAGTTAGCACACCTTGCATGAATAGAAAAAAGGGGCACAAATAAAATAAAAATAAATAAGGAGCCAATTAAGTGAGTACACTGTTTTGTCCACTGGGCTATTTATTTATATTTCAGCTGCTTCAGTGTTTTGAAGCAGTGCATGACTATATTTAAAAAAGGCAAATAATAAAACCAATAAAAACAGCAAAGTTATAAAAATGCAAACAATTGTAATAATACCCCTCCCCAAGTCCTGCTCTGCTGCTTCATTATGGGGGAGGAGGGATGGCAGTCCTGGGAGAGATAAGCAAAGAATGCTAGGACTCTATACCAAGAGTATACACTCCCAGCAAGGTCACCCAAGACCTAAAGGTCATCCCAGCTGCCCAGCTAAAGCAAGGTATCTATATTATATAGGAACAGCAGCAATATAGGAAGATGCGGGAGGTGGATATCACCTTAGTGACAGTGCAAAGTCGTCATTTCATCTTGTGGCAGGAGAAGGCAATGATAACCACTTTTGTATTTTACCAAGAAAATCACTTGGATAATCAAAATAAAATGATTGATAATAATGTGCCAGATGATTGGTGTCTCAGGTCACATGGCATTCAACTTGCTAATGAGTTACTGCTGAGGAACTTTCAGAGTACTACAGGTAGTCCTTGACTTATGACCAATCGTTTAACAACCATCGGAAGTTATGACAGTGCTGAAAAAAGTGACTTACGACTGGTCCTCACACTTATAACTGTTGCAATATCCCCATGGTCACATGATCAAAATTCGGGTGCTTGGCAACCAGTATGTATTTATAATGATTGCAGCCTCCCAGGGTCATGTGATCACCATTTGCAGCCTTTTCAGGGAGCTTCTGACAAGCAAAATCAATGGGGAAACCTGGATTTACTTAACAACCATGTGATTTGCTTAACGACAGTGGTGATTTGGTTAATGAACACGGAAAAAAAGGTCATAAAATTG